TTCCCCACCACACTGAGGTGCACCACTTTGCTGACAACGTCGTTGTACTCGTAGTTTTCGTAGGAGAGGATGCGGTTGAAAAAGCACCGGTAAGTGCCCGAGTCATTGAAGGTGACATTTAACAGGTATATGGATGCATCTTGAATGTCTCTGCTCCTTTTGCTTCCGTTCCAGTCGACGCGATCCAAAAACTGGTCACTCTCAATGGTGGGGCCATCCTCGTTGTAGGTGTACATCTGGACGACACAGAGATCATTTAAGGTTGTGTTCATTACCAGTTATATATTCTTATGCAACACCTTTGCATGAGTGATGGTTAAAATTAATTTTTCATTATTTATGTTATTCTGGGCCTTGGTGTAGCCGCTCAGTTTGTTTCCTCCCTTAAAGAGAACTTATTTCTGATTGGCTGTCCCCCATAAACAGAAGATTGGAACAGTTGTGGGTGGAGCTTCTGTTCTCACAGCTAATACCAGGTGTCTGAGATGACTCTATTAGGATATACGCACTCTATGACATCACACAGAGCCAAGGGTAGAAGAAACTGTCAGAAACAGAGCATTTGGCTCACAGGTGTTACTTTTAAAAACACTGAAACTTTGGCGGTGTCTAATATGAACATCCACCAATGAGCTATTATGTTATTTAGGCTACGATGTTGTAGGTTGTGTATTATTATTATTATTTTGGAAATGTGTTTCATATCTCTTGAAAATCAAGGATTTAGTGTAAAAACTGTCAGTAACTCGTAAACATTTATTGCTAAATGTTTGTTAAACCCTTGAATTAAAGCAGAAAGTCTACACTTCAGCTGTACCCTGATTGTTTGATTTCAAATTGGAAGCAACAATGAAAAAAATATGTCCAGGTTCATGAGTAAAAAACACTCCATTATTTAGATGTATTTTCAGTTAATTGGTTAAGTAAACACACTTGACAGCTCCAAATGGATATCACCTCGTTACCATATTGTAGATGGATGTGTTGCCTCCAATTTAAATTTGTCTACACCCTCAGTCACTCCATATGAAACATACTTTCCCCTGAAACTGTTCAGGCATATTTTTAAAAATTTTGAAACGACTGTTTAACACTACTATACTGAAATCCATCCACAGCTACATTAACACAGCATGCACTGCGGCATCAAACAGAGAATTCAGCACAAGGTCAGCAGAGCTCTCTCTGACACTTTGATGACCTCAGTGGGGTAAAATGTTCCAATTGATTCATCTGAAGCTCATGATGGTGTCATCACTGGGTGCTATTATGTGACTGAGGACCGTACTGTAGGTGTCTATGTGTGAGTAAGTGAGAGCGACAGGAAGGAGGAGAGCTTTGGTGTGCACTATATATAAGAGCATATATAAATAGCTCAAGTCCTGAGAGAAGTAGCCCACAAGTTTGATTTTATGGATGCTTGCGTGACTAAGACTTCCTGCTCCAAACCTCCCATATAGTCAGCAGTGCTGCTTGTTGTGTACAAAGCAGAATTTAAGGTCCAGCAGAGGTGGCGGCTTCGCTGTCCTCTGACAATCTGGGGATGGCCTGTTTGCCTGCAGAGAGCTCTGTCTGTGGGCCACTCTTGCTTGTACTGTTGTTGGTCTGTCACCGCAGAGAAAGTTACAAAACTCAAAGAGCTGAAGTGAAACAATGAAACGTGTCCATTGCAGAACTTTCTGTTGTTTTTCATGCTGTTCTCCTGGTGAACCCTGCTCTCGCTCCCTTCTCTGTCCCACTGTTTTGCCATAAAGTGATTTTCAAGATTTACCAAAATTGCCTGTATTTAAACAGTTGTAAATGACTTGTTTACCTAAAATCTATCAAATGTATCATCGAGTCATTTTTGGCCTGACAAAACATTTTTATCACAAGGTTGACGCTCAAACCAGTTTTTGGCAAAATTACTTTTCTGTATCTTTCATTTATCCAGGTAGAAAAAGTGTCATTGACATAAATGTATTTTTCAAGAGATTTTTGCAGAAATTGCAACAAGCATAAATAGCACCATAGTTCTGTAAAGATATTATTAAATTGGCCAAAAAGGATTGGGTTGATTATAATTTAGGTATTATTTTATATATAACCTCTGTTAATTTACCAACACGAGGAGATATTACACATACATACATCAGAAACATCAGAAATCTGTTTGGTGCAACACCGGCCCACTTGTTGACGTGTATGTCATCCAGTTCAGCGATGCACAGTGAGGATCTTGGAAGACTAAAATTTGTTTTAATCTCCATCATCAAAACTGCAATTAGGAAATGAGAGCTCTTTTCCTGAAGGATATTGCTTCTCCTTCAAATGTACTGGGATCGTTTTGTGTGATAGTAACTGGAAGAAGCTTTGGCTTTTGCAGTTATTTTCTTCTACTTTAACAAGGTGAAAGAAGCATTCTTTAAAGTGCTCCACTGGTTTTATCCTACTGAAAGTGTCCTTAAAAAGACTCAAACCTGACATTATGTAATCTTACATGAGTTTGTCTTTCAGTTATTTTGGCTTTACCTCTACTCCTGACTACAGAAACAGCATGTTTACGTTTATGTAAGTGATTCCCGATTGGTTTGGAAAGATATTTTATTTGGACTCCATCAAGATAATAACGCAAACTCTTGTAAATTTCTGATTAATCAGATTTTTTTTTAAATTCTGTGCCAAATTTCATATTCACAAATGTACGTTTCTAAACTGAAAACGAATGCAGTTCCACAATCATATTCCTACTATCGTCCCCCTTGAAAATATATTGATCAGTGTTTATTTTATATAAATTTTAAGTGACTAATAAAGCAAGTTACTTCTATATTTTGTTCCTTCTTCTAATAAATGTTTATTTTAAAAAAAAAAAAAAAAAGGATGGGGGAAACCCAGACCTGCAGGGCCATAAATCCCACTTCATGGAAACACTCACCAGGAAAAAGTCAGCCTCCCCTTTTGGCCTGAAGTACCATTCGACGCTGGCTTCACCTCTCACCTCACTCCTTCTTTTGCAGGAGATGCAGCCCAGTTTAAAACCCTTTCCTGCTACAGCTTCAGTGTCCGAGTCCACCTCTGCACAGGCCCCGTGACACTGGTACACTGTTTACAAGAAAAGAAGAGAAGTCATCAGCCTGGGTAAACAAGGTGTCATAGCAAAACACTGCCAGGAATCACGCCCACTCACCAAACAGCGTGCAGAAGAAGGAAAACAGCAGAAAACGTAGTAGTGCCATGACTCCAGATGTTTTATCGAAGGAGGCGCCTCAAAAAGTACAACCTTAAGATGGTTCTTGAAGCTTTCACGGAGCCTAGTGACACTCAGGCACTGAGCACCTCCGAGTTTGCAATAGCAGGATGGATATTTGCAAATGTTTTCTTGTAGATTTCAGGAAGCTTATCTGTATTGTTTTTTTTAAGTGCAGGCTGATGTCATGTGTTGGTGGCAACTAGCAGCTAAACATGCATTGTAAAGTGCAAACCGTATACGCGTAAATGTAATGTCCCGTGGAACCACTCAGGTCTTTGGCTCAACAGTTTCCAGAATTCTGGTTGCAGAATTTATTGCCACAAATTATTGCTCCTTTTGAGACAGTTCACCCAAATTACACACCCACTGGCCTCCCGCATCCACGCGGTGACCTTTTCTGCTATCAATGATCAAATAGCTTATGAAACGATCCAGATATCTGTTAACTCACAGTGCTCCCCAGATCCGCACCCTGAGGTTATGATTCTTTTTTTTTTCCTGAGGTCCTTTTAATATGAGATGCAGAGAGCAATCAATACACCTGCCTGGGGCATGCTCCGCTCTAAATGTTGGAAAATTACAGAGAGTATAGACGCTTACGAGGTTAAAATGAATATGTGTTCAAGAGTGCAACATGCCAGCTACTGAATAAACGTCAACAATACATTTACATGCCAGTGCATTTATAATCAATTTGCATGCTCTACGGCAGGAAATAAATGGCTACCTTTTACAGGGTACACGCTACCAGTATTTAATAGAGACCAGTCTAATGGTCTAATGGTAATTATCCTTAATCGGATCAATGAAATCAGAGCCACTGTCCTGATCAGGCCTCCTCTCCTCGAGCAGAGTCGTCTCTCCTGGAAAAAATATAGAAAAATACTGTCCTGTCCAGCGATGGCAGCTATATAATTTTTTGTATAATTTCAGCTATCTAATGACCCCGTGCTCGGAGAAGAGATGTTTCGTTCGCGTTGGCATTGCAGGTCAAACTGCGTGAGCGCACACGCAGGCATATAAGCCAGACACGCAATTAAAAAAAAAAACACACAACCCTCAAATAAATCCGTCCAGTGCTCAGTTAATGGTGTTTTCTCCTGCGCCACAGCGGCACCTCTGTTGAGAGGTTGATGCTGCAGATGCACTGCGGTAAAAACAGCCAAGCGTGTGTGAGACAGGGCAGATGCTGCATGTGACAGCTGTTTGAGCCTCTTCTGTAGGTTTTTTTAAACTGATGCTCATTTAACCCTGCCTCAAACCTGCTGCAGGGATCCCGGTGTGCGTTGGAAGCAAATTAAATGGAAAATGATAAATAAGAAAACGAGAACAGGGCGAGCTGGTCCTTTAATTTAACTCCTTGTTGATTCATACAGGGCATCAGAGAGCTTCCACTTTCTGGACTTCTTGTTTTAAAGGGGGCGCTAATGGGATGTGACTCAAAAAATCCAGTTAAAATTCAGGCTACAGTGAAGGAATTTTTCGTGTAATTATTTTAATGTATTTCCCAGTGTTTATTACACATTGATGTTTACCATTAAATATTTATGGAAACTTAAAAAAAAAATTATAATAATTTTGATGTGTGGCATAACTTTATTTAGGTGCAGGGGGTGGGTGGGGGTATTTCATTTTTATTTTATTTTTTTTTTTGCATTTTTAACAGTGTAAACTTCATTGAGGAAAATTTGAAATGTTTATGATATTTTGGTTGGAGATACACGTTGGCGGTTTTATTTATTTTCACAGCACTATGAGCCGCTTTACAGCATCCGCCATTTTCCTTTCGGGCATGAATCCACCAGTAGCTGAGAATTTCTAGCAACTAACCTCCTGACAGCGTCCGGTTCAACCACCACAACCATCACACATGTAGTTTTCTGTTGCGGTTTAACTTTTCTTCCACTGTTTATTTAACGCTTGTAAAAACGTGTGTCTTAGCAAAATGCTAGCTTTTGGGCAGCATAAGCTTCTCTGTGGGGACTAACTAAAGGACCAGAACGTCGTTTTATTTCAGTACAGGCCCATTATCGATGAGATATGCGAAAATTAAATTACACATTTTTACACGTTTTGTCTAGAAGCGGTTGTTTTATCCGTGTTGCACTGTCAGCTAATTGAATATTTCCGGAGCGCCACCTGCTGGGCCTCCAGCTGAATTGCAGCCAGTTTCTCGGGGATTGGGCTCTGTCAATACATGTAACAGTGGGTCTGTCAGTAACGTTTAATAATTGTCCATGCAGCTATTGTTTATTCAGCGGCAGGTGAATCAACAGGTTAACGTGTGATGGCGTTTCGTGACAGTTCAAACCGACGTTTACACTAAACACCCACTCACGCCGTGTGAGGATGCTGCCTAGTCAACTGGCTATAAGCAGCAGCTGCGCCTGCGGGCAGGCTGCCGTTAGCCTCGTTTTATTAGCGTGATTTTTTTTGAGATGGCGGTTAGCATGTGGAGTTTACCAGTGACGTTTTGCTGCAAATAGTCAGCGAGGCTCCATGTAAAACAACAGAATCTCGGCTCATCGAAGGTAAAGTCATTAAACTAACGTTTACTGGGCTAACTGTTGACTGGCTAATGTAGCTAAAAGCTAGCTTAACGCAGGGAATATAAACAATGAACCAAAAACTAAGGAGCGAATGTCTTCAGCCCTTCATCATGTGAGTGCCGTCTTTAAAAGTAGATGGTGAAATAGTAGAGCATCGAAGTGAGCAGTAATCACCAGGTGGTAAATTATTTGGGATGAACACAGGTAGTTATTAATAAATCAGCCCTATTTATCCCATATTCGGGAAATGCTATCGTTACAGCACTTAAATTGAACATTAAAGATAACATCCGGATTATCTGGCAGATGGCTTTCTGGTAGGCGGATGTATTGAATTATAAAGTGTGATGGCATGTGGAAGGGAAGATTTTGTGTATCTCTCCTTGTGGCAGTATATCTGAGAAGCGGCTCTGCTGTCTGTTTAGTAAGTGTTGCAGAGGGTGGTCAAGATTATCTATGATGGATAGCAGACTGTTCAGTGGCCTCGTCTCGATCACAGCTCTTTCATAAGTGTCGTGTGTGCAGCCAGTCACAGAGCCAGACTGTCTGATCAGTTTATTCAGTATGTTGGAGTCACCAGCTCCCCAGCAGACTTCAGCAAAGTGCACTGTGCTGGATAAAATTGGGTGATCTGCAGCATTTTGCTGGATGCTTTGAAGGATCTCAGTTTCTTTAGGAAATAGAGTCTCCTATTACCCTTCTTGTATACAATCTGTGTTGGTTTTCCTGATTTGGATGCCTGGAGTAGCCCTATACTTCAACACTCTGTCCCAGGATAGGTCTTGGCTATGTAGCTGCCCTCTTCCTTCTGAAGTTAGTCACCGTAACTGTGGTCTTATTCACATTCAGAGGTAGACAATTCCTCCTAGACTACTTCACTGCTGGGCCCAGGGCTTAACAGCTAGTCAATAGTTGTTAAGCCCTGATAGTGTTGAGTTCTTCGGTACAGGAACCAAACAGCATGTTTTCCATAACACTGATATTAGCATAATTTTACCTGACATTTGAGGTAAAATGATGAGGTAAAATTGGTCTACATGAAATTACTCGTAAGCAATTAAAGATCAATCAGAGGATAATAGATTAAAGTACCAGCTGATCCTTTCAGCTGAATGTGAATGTTACCAGCCTTGTTTTGTGGAAAACAGACAGTGTTATTGCATATTTTAATGGCATAACAAAACATATATTGGTCTATAATGCATTATATGTATAAGTATGGATTAGAACAATAATAACTACATGTGTAGTAAAATATGAGAAAACAACTGACAACTTTTGTGCCTTTCCTCCAGATTTCGCTGACCATGGATCCGACCTGCAGTGGGTCTGTGGCTCCAGCCGGTTTGACGGTCCAGGTGTGCTTCCCAGGCGCCAGAGCAGCTGTTTTGGACAATCTGAACCGGCAGCGGGAGGAAGGCAGGCTTTGCGATCTCTCCATCCAGGTGCAAGGTCAAGTGTTCAGGGCTCACCGCTGTGTCCTCGCTGCATCCTCACCTTACTTTCATGATCAGGTAGGGCAGAGCATATTCATGCAGGGTTGAAGTTGTTGGGGTTTACTGTCTGATGTTGCACTCCAGTAATATAGCACTATTAGAATACCTAAAATCATCTCTGCTTGTAGAGTGGGTGACAAGAGACGAAGGGAGAGACACCACTTCACAGCCTTTATGAGCATATCACCCACTTGTTTTCTACTCCACATTTTGAGCTTTAATATTTACATTTTGGCCACAGCTGGCAAACATGTTTAAAAGCTGTATTATTAACTGTTGGAGTGCAATCCACTGAAAAAGATACCTGCTAATTAATACGTAGTAACATAAGCTGATGGTTATGATAAAATACTTGAATTTCACTCACCAAAACTGAAGCAGAAAATCCTTGGGTGGTCTGTACCTCACAGTAGCTCAGATAATTTCATCAAACAGCACAAACATGGTGGAAATGTCCACATCAGTGACTCCAGTTAGTGGAAACCTAGCTTTTGTATAAAAAGCAGGTGTCTTAAGCCTCCCTTATAGTTTCTTTAGCTGTTTTTCTATGTTTAAAATGGCACTGGGTTTGTAAAACACTGGCAGAAAACCTGTTTATGTGTATATTTCAGTCCAGATGTCAAAGTGTGTCTTTGTTTCTGTCTCTTCACAGGTGTTACTGAAAAATGTTACAACTGTCTCCCTGCCCTCAGTCATGGACCCAGTTGCCTTTGAGAGCGTCCTGAGTTCTGCGTACACTGGCCAGCTGAGCATCGTGCATGACGATATCGTCAACTATGTCACCGTGGCCAGTTTCCTGCAGATGTGGCACATCGTGGACAAATGCACCGAGATCCTAAAGAGGCCTCGGTCCTCAGCAGAGGGCGCCTCTGGGGAGGCTGCCGCCGCAGCTCACCCCAGCTCTGCATCTCGCCAGCAGTCCCCGAGCAGCACGGAGTGCCTGTATGCAGAAAGAGAGGGAAGGAGGAGGGAGAAGAAGCCAGATTCACTGCCTCCTTTGGCTACATGGAGACGCCCACAGCAGTTCTCAAGATGGGGACGCCCTCGACCCTCGTCAGCCCAGCACTTGGCTGATTCACAGCTGGACAGCCTTCCTGGCTATGTGGAGACTGATTACACCAGCTGCGAGGAGACATGGGTATCGTGCAATGCTAAGACGAGTCACTTTACTCACGACGGACCTGGACACAATGCCCGGCACCATGGGGGGTTTTCAGGTGCTGAGGCTTTAAAGCAGAAAGTCAGATTTCAACAACGGGGGGCACCACAGACCTCTGATCGACCACTCGATAAGAATAGAGAGAGTGGGGACGGTGATGAGACGCAGGATAAGAGGAGGAGTGAGAGAAGAGAGATTGAGGCGGATGAAGGAGTAGGAGAAGAGACGGGGAAGAAGGAAGGCTTTGCACAAATGGGACACTGTGGTAAGATAGACAAATATAAACAGCATTAAAGAATCCTTTTTAGACACTATTTGTTATTAGGATTTTTACTTTTCTTGAACAGCAGTTTTTTTCCAGATATAAAGAAATTTACAACTTTTGTGGGGATGATTTGGACTGACATTCAACAGCAGTGCCCTGACATTTACTGTAAATGTTACTGAAAGTTAATATATTTATATATTGTAAAATAAATACAAGAATTAAAAAATATATATTTATTGGTTTCAATTTAGTAAAATTCAGATTTACGTCAGCAGTGGATTTGAATATAAATAATGTTGAATCTGACCAGATAGCTGGGTCATATATTCTTTCTCTTTGTGCATTTTCCCAGTGAATTTACTAAAATGTGCTTTTGTTCCTTCTTGTGTTCAGCAGACTTTCACTCAGTTTCGAATGAAAATGACGAAGCTGGACATGCTGCAGGGAAGCAGAGTGCAGACGTGACAAAGCAAAGAGATTTGGTAGGAAGCGATCCAGCCACAGACCTGCCCAGTCTTCATGGTTGCCAAACAGGTGACGCAGTTCCAGACCCTTCCTGCCCGTCCTCAGCCAGGCTTCAGTGGCAAACAGGTGCCTGGTCTCAGCAAGAGCAGAGGCCTCAGGAAGGAGAGGGCGGCAGCTGCAGTAAAGATGAGGATGATGAAGAGGAGGAAGAGGATGTGGATTTTGAATGTTTCACAGAAGCGACCTATAGGAGAGGCACTTACGATGAGATTGAAGATGGCACAGGACAGGTTTCCCAGCGGCCTTTGGTCCCCGTGTCTCCTGACTTTACAGTGGCGGGCGCGGAGGTGAATTGGCAGGGTGGCTCTTTGGCCCCTACCTCCAGTCGCCATCTGTCCTCATCTTCTGCTGCATTTCCACCACCCCCTTCACCTCCAACCCCATCTTCATCATCCTCAGTGTCCCTCGCTGCTGCGCCCTACACGGGTAAAGTACACTTCTGCCACTGTGGGAAAGCCTACACCCTGAAGAGTATGCGAGACCGGCATGTGAAGATGCAGCACCTCAATTTACGGCCCTTTGGGTGTCCCGTTTGCACAAAGTCCTTCAAAATGAAGCACCATCTCACTAAGCACCTTAAAACCCACGGAGGGCTGCGGCCCTATGAATGCAGCCTCTGTGGGAAGAAAGTCATTTGGAGAGACAGCTTCCTGAGACATCAGGCCCGATGTGAGAGACTTGCTTCCAGCTCCTCGGCGAACAGCAACAGTGCAAGCGCAGCAGCAGATATGGATGATGGCTACAGTTATGGATTTGATGAAGGGGAAGCCTTTCTCCCCACTGGAGGACAGGTGAAAGTTGAGGAAGTGGATTTTCATAAGGAGATAGAGGATGGGATGGGTGGGCTTTTGGGTAGTGTTTCTGGGATAGTTGCTGAGCTAAGAACCCAGACACAAAACTTGGACCCTGGCAGTCACGTTTTTAAAGAGGAGGCCAGCGAGAGCTTTACCTGAAATTAAACGTTTATGTGGAAAACAGTGATTTAAAGCACTTACTGTAAAGGTTGAAGAAGGATTTTGCTTAAATTGCCATGAAATGTCATCCGATCTTCACACAATCTGAATAAACGAAGAACACAAGCAGTTATACTTTTCATGCTTTTATTTATGAAACATTGAGCAATCACTCAGTGCTGGATGGAAAGAATAAGCGAACCTTTGTGCTAATGAGTTCTCAGAAAAGCTGCTTGGAGTCAGGTGTTCCAATTAAGGCAATGAGATTTGACTTGTGGGATGTAGAGGCACTTGTCCCTATAAACAAATGTGTACAAAGTCTGATTACTTACAAAGCTTTTTCTGAAATTTATATAAAGTGGAAATATAGGACTGGCACTACTCTTTTTCCAAAGGCCACAGAGACCACAATATATCTGCAAACAATATATTTACACTTACTAAAATAATTAAAAGATATACAGAAAACTTGTAGAATAACAAATAGTGTTAATGGAAGAATTCTGCTAAGTAAATAAGTTTGCAAAAGACCAGATGGATGTTCCAAAACAGTTCTGTAATAATTTTCTGAGCACAGTTGAGACAAAAGTCAGTCTTACCATCCACCAACTGGATGCTTTGCAGGCATTGAGAGAGTAATACGCTTATAATTGTTTTTTTTGTTTTTTTTACCAGATTTCGCCCTGGAGCGGCAGTTCTAAATCTGATGCTTAGAAGAGTTTGGGAAGATGCAGTAAGACAGGAAATATTATTGGCCTCAATGCTGTTAATGTTTGTACAACTAAATAAATTCAATAGTTTACTTACCGTTTTAGAATAAACACTGTGCGATTACTCAATGTGTTCAATAAAGACATGAAAAGTACAACTGATATTTTCCGAGTTTGATCAGATATTTAGTAATCAGTTAAAGTGTTGGTGATCCCAAAGGATTCGTCAGCTTTCTGCTGTATGTACATACCACTTTAAAAGATGGAAATGTATAACACAACAAATCTTTGAGCCAATGCTTCAGTTTTGTCCTTTACATGTGCATTATTTACAGGCCATGGTTATTTTGAAAAACATGAAACAAAATATTCTAATTTCAAGTGATCCTTTTTTATTTTGCAGCTTCACATAGGCTCAGTTTTTGTTTAGTGATGCTTTAAACTCTACCAAGCAGTGTTGTGAATGTACTTCTCACATTTTGCACATAAATTATTTGCCATTAACCTTTAACATAAAATGAACACAAGGATAAAAATGCTTTTTTCCCGTGCCATGCTGATGTCACTTATGTGAAGAAAAAACAATATCATGGTAATAAAAGTAGTTTTGGTGATCTGTGATCATTTTAAAACATGTCACTGAGGCTCATTTTAATATTGTGTGTTATTTTAGAGCACTGAGGCCATTTTTAAATATTTTGTTAAATGACTTCTCAAGAAAGAAACTTAAAATCAATGGTGATGAGATTACAGCTTTATCTAGCAGTAGCTGACAAAGCCAGTCAGTGTATTGGGGCCTGAGAGGCTAACACTGGGCTCCCGAATAGCTTGTTAGATTTATATGAAGTTTAGCATCTTTTCCAGGTTGAAACAGGTGACTTTGGGTTTCTAGTAGATAAGTACGATCGTCTTCCCTGTAAAGTTACGTTGAAACCAAGCACAACATTGTTTTTCTTGTGACATTACCAATAAGTTTGATGTGTCACATGGCCCTCTTCCTATTGAAAAAACAAAAGTTGTATCCAAGATGGCCGACTTC